CTCTAGTGACGCTCTCCACAAAGCCTACCAATCGGACCAGAGCGTCCTGAAGAACTGGGGTGGCAATGAACCCCTCTTGACCTGAGCTGGGCCCACCGGAGCTGTTGGGGCTGGAGCCTCCTCATCATAATCAACATGAGGCTCCACCTCTAGGACTGCTGCTCGGGGCTGAGCTCTGCCCCGGCCTCGGCCTCTGCCCCTCGCAGGTGCTGCTGCTGGGGGCTCGGGCTGCTGCGCGGTAGAAGAGGAAGCACGTGTTCTCGCCATCTGCGAAAGAACAGAGTAGAAAGACAATCAATATTTGAGAAACAGATTCGCACGACAGGAAAGAACAAAAGTGAAACTTTCCTAACTCCGTAGCCTCTGGGAGATAAGTACAGACGTCTCCGTACCGATCCCTCAGACTCTACCGAGGTTGTCCGTGAGTTGTGAGACCTATGCAACCTAGTGCTCTGATACCAACTTGTCACGACCCGGATTTCCCACCATCGGGAGTCGTGATGGCGCCTACTATCGGAGCTAGGCAAGCCAACAGTTAAAACATTTTTTTTTACTAATTTCATTCAAAATATAATAAACGAGAACAATAAATAAGCGGAAGATTTTAGATTAACACAACTGAAAACCAAAAGTGCGGAAATTTGAAACATAGTCCTACCTAGAGTCTAGTGTCACTAGCTCACGGACTACTATAGAATGCTAAAAACAAGTCTGAAAGGAAATACATAGTGTTTGTTCGATACAAGGTAAACAAACTAAAACATAGAAGGGACTTCGGCCTGCGAACGCCTGCTAGGCTACCTCGTGAGTCCCTGGACTGAAGATAGCTCCCGGCAATCTTACTGCTGCGGTCCGAAAGCTGCTCCCTGATCTGTGCACAAAAATGCACAGAGTGTAGCATCAGCACAACCGACCCCATATGCTGGTAAGTGCCTGGCCTAACCCCGGCGAAGTAGTGACGAGGCTAGACAGGACCTAACAAAACAACCTGTACAGATATATATACATATTCCCTCAAGCCAAGGTTAGAACAAACACTTACCTCGGTCCAAAGAATAGCAATCAACCCTCAAATACCGCCTTTCCTCTACAATCCGACTCCGAAACAATGGTATCTAGTCATAATTAGTTCAGTAATATCAATAAGGGCTCAAAAACATAATCTCATAGCATAGAAATGAAATTTCCAATCATTCTCCCAAAACACAAAAATTCGACACCGGTCCCACATGGTCCAAACACGAGGCTCGGACCAAAACCCAATCACCCATAACCCCACGAGTTCAAATATATATTTTATTTCAAGATTCGACCCCAAGTTGAGGTTGAATCACCCAAAATCCTCCAAGCCCTAACTCTACCCAAAACCCTTAATTTCTACTTTGATTTCATGATTTAGGGCTAGGAAATTAGTAATTAGATGAAGAAATAACGAGGGAATGATGTTAAGATTACTTACCCAAGGAGTTATGGAGGAAGGAGAGCTTGAATTTCGTCTATGGAGGGTTTAAGAGGAGAGCTCGTGTGAAAAGAATGAAGAAATCCCGTCACTGGTTCTGTTTTTAGGCTTTAAAATAGCTGGGCGAATTTACCCTACGCGATCGTGGATGTAGAGATGCGATCGCGAAGGGTTACACAGAATGGTCAACGCGATCGCGTGGGTTGTAATGCGATCGCGTAGGGGAATACTGGGGGGGGGGGGTCCAAAACTTGGTCTATGCGAACGCAAACCTACTGGTGCGAACGCATTGAAGGAAATGCTAAGGCAGTGCGATCGCGTGATCAAATAGCGAACGCGAAAGAGTAAAGAGTCAAAGGAACGCGATCGCAGGCTGAAGATTGCGATCGCGTAAGAGGAAATCACTGAGCAAAAATTGCAGAATTTTCTGCTATGTTTTTCCTAAGCCAAAACATGCACTCCCGAGCCCTCGGGGCTCCTAACCAAACACACACACGCTAACTCAATAACATCCTACGAACCTACTCGAGCGATCAAATCGCCAAAATAACATCAGAATCCATGAATCAAGCCTCAAAATCATCATTTTCATTTCAAACTTCTTAAACTTCTAACTTTAGATATTTAGGTCCGAAACACGTCAAATGACGTCCGATTTCGACCAAACTTTACAGAAAGCGCTTAACACATATTTAAGACTTGTACCGGGCGTCGGAACAAAAATACGAGCCCGATACCATAGTCTTTTAATCAATTTTTATTTCCATTTTCCTTAAGAATTTCAGAAAAACAATTTCACAGAAAAATTAATTTCTCGGGCTCTCGACCTCGGAATTTGACTCCGGGCATATGCCCGAGTCTCATATTTTTCTGCGGACCCTCCGGGACCGCCAAATCACGGGTCCGGGTCCATTTACCAAAAATGTTGACCAAAGTCAACTTTAGCAATATTAATATCAAAATTCTTCAAATTTTTCCCAAAGTTCACATATTTCAACATAAAAGTTTTCCGGCTTCGCGCTCGGACTGCGCACGCAAATCGAGGCAACTAAAAGCGAGGTTTTTAAGGCCTCGGAAGCTCGGAAATAGGGAGAAGTCCGGTGATGACCCTTTGGGTCGTCACACTTGAGGGGAATAATTTCCTTAAGGACACACTGTGTATTCAGTGGGCTCGATTTGTTCCTTCAACGTTTCAAAAATTATTTTGAAGTTCGAATATTATTTTTCATAATTTTTTCTACTAACTTTCTATTTTATTTTTCAGAAAGATTACTGTTTTATTTACTTACAGCAATACAGATAAATAACACCTTGTTCTAAAGAATTTTGAAAATCTTGAACCCCCTTAATCTCAATTCTAACTTCCTACTTTCTATTTCGATATCCAAGTGTTACCCACTAAGAGTTCAGTAATGCTATTCATTTACTTGATGCCATCAAGATGTGAACTTGGAAATCGTCAAGGGTTGTGATAGCATGAATAATATCATCTACCTTAACTAGAAGTTTCGAGTTCGAGTCATGAGAATGGAAAAAATCTTAGTAGGGAATGGTTCCCCTTTAATAAGCCTTACGCGATACGAATTCGGATTGGACGGAGCCCTAAGGTGAATACCGGATACAAAATTAGAAGAAAAAAAAAGGACTTGCAAACTCTTTACTATTGACTCTATACATTGTTGCATCAACATTTAGCTGTCTTACATAAGGTTCCACTCTGCTAAACATAACCCTGGGAGGACGCAAACAAAGATAACCTCAATCTAATATTTCTTTGCTTATCAATCCTTACCAAATTCAGTTTCTTTCATTTTCTAGAGCTCATTTGTTGTTCAATATGAAGAAGCTATATTTGGATGCTCTATTTTAATTTTCTGAGTTGGACCATCAAAATCAACACAGCCTAGACCGTGCACGTAAACGAACATCCGGCCAAAAACACCACACACCTTCCACAAAAGCAAAAACGATCATAATAAAGAGGAGAAGGAAACATTGGGAGAAGAAAAGGAAAGGATGAAATTGAATTCTCAATAAAACCACCTTTGTCTTCACTAAATAAATCAAGAAATGCTAAAACATAATTTGGCTAGCATAACAAGTCAAGCTATCAACTTCTCTGCATATGAGCTTGGTCACGTCGCCAGTCCCAAACTCGGATAAAGGAGGAGGACTGCGATAAGTTGATAGTCAGCGTAAAAGTAATCAATTTATGATAAATCCTAACACTACAAAATATATTGTTTGTGGGATGAGCTAAATTGGATCGACGTGATCAATGAGGAACAACTTGAATTTGCTTGGAATTGAGGCTTAGTTCAAATTATTGTTCCCCAATTCATCATGATCTTGTTTGTGAATTGTCATCTTCATATTAAATTGCAACTATATATATCTTTTCAACCCGGCCTCTCTCATTCAGTAATTTGTACCCTAGTTCTAAGAAATCCTAGTAGAAGTTTTCAGTAGCTTTTCACTTAATTAATGCCATCATTTCAAGATGTGAACTTGCAATTTTTTCACAGTTGGCTTTGTACATATTTTGCAGCATCAATCTAGCTCTGAGTTGAAAGGGAAACTTGGAGCAACGGTAAAGTTTTCTCCGTGTGACCTATAGGTAACTGATTCGAGCCGTGGAATCAGCCACTGATACTTTACATCACACTCCTTGGGTTGCGGCCCATCCCCCGACCCTGCGTGACGTATCGTGCAAGGGGCTGCCCTTTTTTTAAATCTAGCTCTGACTTCTGAGTTACATAGCAACCACTGTGATAAACATCAACCTTGGAGGACACAGCATGGTATATTGAGTAATTTTTGTTTGCTCCTCACCATCCCCAGCAAATTCAGTTTTTCTTTAATTTCCTATGGTTTATTTCTTGTAAAAAATGATTATGAAGCAGGGGAAAACATATCAAAAGAAGAAGGTGCTGAGCTGTGACAGGATAAAAGAATCATCTATAACCTTATAAGCTACACTCATGTAACAGAATGAGGTATATGCCTCAAATGAGAACTTCTGTAGTATTTCTAGACACAATATTGTGAAACAGTGTAAAAGATTTTCTACTCAATTTGCGTAGTTTAACATATTACAGCAGGGTAGTTACCATTACCATCAATAATTCTCATAGAAATCACCCGTAATTACCTTATAAGTTACATTATCATATATTTTACTCCGTCAATACATAGAATTTACCTTATAGAATTTATTAGTCTCATGGTCATTCAACCTAAAAAAAAAAAAAAAAAACAGTTTCTAAACAAGAATATCTCATCATATTGAACTAATGTAACCTTTGGTATTTATCTCAACAAATTCTCTAGTTGTCAACCTCACAAGATAGGATACCACATTATAGGTCATATTTTTAGAAAAATTGTGGATTCATATTACTTTTTGCAAACAATGACATGACTTTACAGCATAATGAAAAGCTTAACTTCAACAATGCATTCACTAAAGGGCTGTAAATGTCCCTACATGTTCCATAAATTGCTCAGTTTAGACACAATAAGTGGAATAGGCAACACACCACTAGTAATTTTCAGTAGACATATATTGATAAAGTAGTATCCAGGAAATCTTCATCACACTTTTTAGTACAAGATGATTGCATAATGTCACATAGTACAATATACATCCTCAAATATATTCTTCATTACAAATTCTCATTCTTTGGAAATGAAAGTAAATTAAATACATCTTGTTTTTGCACAAAAGGGAAGAGCTTAATTATCTTAAAACCACTTCAAGAAGATCCAAAAAAGGCAGCTCGGGGAAGCGCCGGATCATAAGGGCCTACTGTATGCAGCCTTACCCTGCATTTCTGCAAGAGGCTGTTTCCGCGGCTCGAACCCGTAACCGGAGGTCACATGACAACAACTTTATCAATTACACCAAGGCTACCATTCAAGAACATCCATCACAACAATTAAACAAAGCAAAGAGAAGAGCATAATACCACTATGTTTCAGAATTGGACCAGCAGAAACCTCTACCTCTGCAAAAAAACACCATAATATAAGAACCAGTACAATGATTTGACAAGAAAAAACAAAGAAAGTTTTGAGTGTAAAAGCTTGAGATAAGAGAACTTACTACATTGGGTTACATGGCAAAGACATCTCAATCCAACTCCACAATTACCATAAGGCTTTCTACACTCATCACAAGGATTTGGTACATGGTCAATATCCCAAGATATCCTTGTCCCTAACTCAAGTTTCTCATCTAGAGAATTGCTTTTATAAACTCTTCTATAATGTGAACAGTTCAAATCCTGAGGATGAAACTCATTTCCCAAATCTTGAACATCATCAACCATCAAACAAGAAGAAGACCCACCTTCTTTACATAAATTGAAAAAAGAAGAATCTTTCTCATTTTTCAAGTAAGGACAATTTTGAAAAGTTGATGTATTTCCCTTAGGATATAAGCAGTTGAATAGAAGTAATGAGTTAGGCTTAGGGGTAGGAGGAAATCCAGAAGATAAATCTATAGGAGATACATAATGAGATGAAGTAGAACAAGAAGTATGAGAAACAGTAAGTAGTTTATTTTTGTAATCAATTGAAGAAACTTGAAAAAGACCAACAGAAGTTGTATAGTATAAAATGTCTGATCTACAAAAGACCATGTTTTTCAAGAAAGATGAATGTGTTGAGTTTTGAGAAACAAATGGCTCTTCAATTCTTATATTACCACAGTAGCTTTTTGCAATAGCTGCTTGTGCTTCTTGAGATATGTAAAAGTTCAAAGAAAGGAAAAAGACTAAAACATGAACTTTCTTGATCAAGATTTCCATGTGTTTCCTTCCTTTCTTTTCTTACTCTGATTTGATACTTCAAAAATGGAGTTTTTGATCAAAATAGATGAAAGGCTGTAAAAGTAGGAATCAAAGAATCTAACTTTTCCTCTTTGCAGGAAAAAATTTTCTACCTTTTGTTACTGTAATATTCTTTGAGCATCATAAAATTCTGGAACACCTTTATATCTGAAATGCTTTGTGGATCTTAAAGTCCAACCAGGGTAATACTTGAGAAAAAATTTCACCCTTTTCTTTTTCACATCCACATTTGGACATAGATTTCTTTTTCTATAACATGATATATTTTAGATGGCTTTTTTCTGATTAGCGATAATAGAAGTCAAATAAGGCAGACAAACTTTGGTATAATGGGGTCAGAATGATATATTAGAAGAGCATGTAGATAGCTAGCATAGGTAATGAAAAGTCAAAAAGTTAATTTGTTCTCTAGTTCAGTGATTATTTGATGGAGAAGTAATCAATATTAGTCACAATATATTTAAAAAGACACAAGTTGATTCTATTGAAATGTCCCTTCATGAAATAATGCATGATACTTCATAATAACCATTCACAATACAAACACTTGAACCTCAATTAGCCCAAAAACATCCTAAACAAAATCAAACCATATTGGAACATAATTACAGACATAATACTAGTTTGTTGTGCCATTGATCACAGGAGCATTGAAAGTAATAACAGGGATTTCTCATTTACTGCATTTCTCTGTCAAACACTTTTAATAAAAATATAATTTATGGGTTCAATCCGTGGGCAACAAAAATATTGTCTTCTTCATACTCATCCTTGAGCGATAAAGCGAATCGGAATCTGGCACCCGAGAGCTGGAGCTCTTCTTGGGCTTACGAGCCACTCTTTTCTTTGGCTTCACCTCGGAGCTCGGGGAGCCCGAATCCTTTCTTTTCTTCTTCTTCTTTTCCCCCGCGACAGCCCCGGGCTGTCCCGTAACGAAGGGATCAATGGACAAGGATACGTCCTTGTCCCCTTCCAAAGGCCTAAGCTCGGTGGTCTTAAGCAAGCCTATAAAAGTAAGAAGAAAGGTTAGTAAGATGTGAATTAAGGGCGCGATAATAGTTGTTTGAAGGAGAACCTTACCACGAAACAGGCTGCCCATCAGCCCTTCGAAAGCTTGCTCCATGAGCGCTCGGAGTATGACATCTGCTTACAGATGCCTTCGATCCACTCCTGAGCCGGGGGACAACATTTGGAACCCCGACAACAGCTGCACAACCACAAATATAAATGATGAGAAAGAAAATGAAGAAAAATTGATACTTAAGGAGAGGTTGCACTTACGAGATGCATTGCATTTCTCGGGGAATGGCATAAACTCAGGAGGGATAAAGTCTTCGATCTTTACCCAAACGAAGCGTCCCTGCCAGCCTCGCTCGATCTTCCTCAATGCTCGGAAAGGGGGCCTTGCTGCCGGTGAGTAAGCTTGATTAGTCCCCCTTGGAAAATTCATGGACTGTATAGACGGAGCAAGTGGTCGATGGGTAAACCGACGAGATTCGATGTTATTTACAAAATAACGAAAGAGGATCACGATCCTCCATAGAGACGGGTAGAATTGCCCCAGGCACACCTCGTACCTCTTGCAAAAATCTAAAATGACCGGATCCACCGGGCCCAGCATGAAGGGATAAGTATAAACACTTAAATACCCCTCCACCTGTGTTCAAAATCAGAAAAGTAAACAAACGTTAGTTCAATAAACAAAACGTAAAATAATTCCGAACCCACTGAATGCACAATATATCCTTAAGGAATTTAATCCCCTCATTGTTGCCCAAGGTATACGGATTAATTCCCCCCAGGATAGAACGGAATAACTATTCTGTGATAGCGGCACTTCAAATCACAAAACTTCAGCGAACTCAACAAACGGAGCAAACCACACTTGACACTTATGTTTATTTAAAAAATAATGCAAAAATATAGAAAAGAGGGGAGAATATTTCAGATTTTCCTTGTCTGATTTCATGTTATAAAAAATGAAGCCAAGCCTCTAAATTTATAGACAAAGGAAGGTGATATGGAGAGGTGCAATCTAAAAGGTGCCTCTTCCATTTCTCATTCACACCCCTTAATAAAAATGCAACAATCCCCCACATGAATGGGGAATGGACATTTGTGAAAAAATATGCATGCAAATACTGTGTGATTCGCAAGTAAGGATTAATCGCATCTGGATAAGTAGGTTTCCCTTTGAACTTTCCGTAGTGAACTTATGTCGGATATACTCGGTCAATCGGTAGATTTGATATCTTTGAACCGTCGAGCTTTGGTGTATACCTAGACAACCATAAGTCATACAATCAATCCTTAACCGTCTTTGGTTCTCAAGGTTGTGTTCGTTTCAGCCATGAACACCGCCTGGTTTCATGAGTGCTTAGAGAATGGGCCTTTACTTTCATTCCCCTTAAAGTGGCTTACACTTAACACTCACATAGGTGATTTCTAAACGTGTAATCCTATAGAACACTATCTGGTCATATCCTGCCAGACTTAGAAAATCATTAAAAAGCTTTAAGCTTTATTGACTCATCAAAAAGCCTTAATGCTTTACCTTGATTTCTGAACATTGTCTTCATCACGAGAATGGGTTGAGTTATTTGACAATGTTGAACCGTCATTCATAACTTTGTTTGATCTCTTTGAACTTAGCTCTTGGGATCTCCAGTCTGCTAGGTAGAGTTACCGCCATGATGACTTGTCCTAGGCCTTAGCCCCATTCCCTTCGATGATCTTTCAACTGCCTCTCTAGATAGGCCTTTTGTAAATGGATCCGACACGTTATCTCTCGACTTTATGTAGTCAATCGTGATAACACCACTAGAGAGTAGTTGTCTAATGGTATTGTATCTCTGTCGAATGTGACAAGATTTTCCGTTATACATACGCTCCTTGCCCTGCCTATTACCACTTGACTATCACAATGTATACACATAGGTGCCAACGGTTTGGCAAAAATAGAATATCTTCCAAGAAATTCCAGGGGCATTCAACTTCTTCACCGGCCTTGTCTAATGCTATAAACTCAATTTCCACTATAGAGCGTTCAATACACATTTGTTTGGACGATTTCCAAGACATCGCTCATCCACTGAATGTTTAGAATCGGTTGAACCGGTGATTTAATTTTCATCACTATACCCCTCTATTATCGCGGGATACTTATTGTAGTGCAAAACATAATTTGGAGTATATTTCAAATACTTCAAAACTCATTTCATTGTCATGAACGTTTAATGCAAACTTCCTTATGTTGTAGACTAATATGTCTCGACTTCCGATTGCATATCATATTATTGACTACACTTAATGTAGTAATATAACAACAGCTGGAATGATTGGCATCAGTTGTGGCCACAACCTTTTAATATATAACACATTTCGCAATCATTCCGCCATTTTCAAGCATTTGTATGCTATTCATTCATACGTCTATATGATATGCAAATTATAGCACCTTCATTCATGAAACAAATCCAACTTGCAATAGATTTTGATCATGTTCATCGGTTGGTTCACCTCATTATAGACCAACATATTAATACGTTCCTTCATGAACGGTCATGTTTTTACAAAACATACAAACACATCTTTCTATGAAAATTCACAATCTTCAAAGTGACATCATTCATAAAAGAACTAAACAATATAAATTTTCAATAAAGAGAATGATCTTTCGAGAAAGGCACGTGACCAACTTCCGAATTAGTAGTTTCATCAACTAGTCTTCACTAAGACTAAATAGTTGATGAATTTACCAACTACCATATCAATGGTGTTCAAAAATTATATTACTTAGACATTACGTCTAACATTGGCTTCTGTCATGCATAAGCTAAAAGCCCCCACATTTTAAATATTTTATCAACATATCATCTACATAAAATCAAATAATGACTTATGACTTGAAGTATTCTTAATGTAAACACAATTATTTACACTCATTAATTTTTGAAACCATTTGACAATATTATTTGGTCAAATCTCGCATGCCATCGTTTGGGTGCTTGTCTTAGTCTGTAAAGTGACTTAACAAGTCGACACACCTTCTTTTCTTTTTCAGGAACCACAAATTTTCAGGTTGTTCCATTTAGATTTCTTCATCCAAATATCCATTTAAGAAGGTTATCTTTACGCCCATCTGATGGATTTCAAGGCCATACACGACGGCTAACGCTATTACCATTCGAATAGATGTAATTCTCATTACCGGTAAGCATGTGTCAAAGTAATCAAGACCTTCTCATCGTCTTAATCCTTAATCAATCTTGGCTTATATTTGTCAATAATACCATCAGCTTTTATTTTCCTTTTGAAAATCCACTTAGAATCCAAAGGTTTATTTCCTGGAGGAAGATCAACCATTTTCCCAAGTATGATTACTTAATATGGATTCTATCTTACTATTGACAACTTCTTTCCGAGGAAGACATAACTTCTTCCAAAGTTTGAAGCTCACTTTCTAACAAGAATGTCAGAAAATCTGGTCCAAAGGAAGTAGTTGTCTTTTGACGTTTACTACATCTTGGATTTACCTCATTAGGTGTATTTTTCTTTTCTTCTTCCCGAGGTCGCTTAGATATTTCACAAGACGAATCACATTTCTTTTATACGGATAAATATTCTCAAAGAATTCAGCATTATCTGATACGATTACCGTATTAATATGAATGTCGGGATTTTCTGATTTATGAATCAGAAAACGATATGCCTTACTAGTTGTTGCATATCCTATAAAACCGCAATCCATAATTTCCGGTCCAGTCTTTACTTTTTTTTTGGGTTTAGGAACTTGCACTTTAGCTAAGTACCCCCACACTTTAAAATATTTAAGTTGGGCTTCCTTCCATTCCATTTTTCCTATGGAATGGATTGCGTCTTGCTATTGGGAACTCGACTGAGTATACGGTTATCTGAAAGAATAACTTTCCCCCCACAAGTTCTAGGGTAAACCAGAACTTATCAACAAGGCATTCATCATCTCCTTTAACGTTCTATTCTTTCTTTCCGCAATTCTATTAGATTGCGGTGACTAATGGGCGATCGTTTGATGAATAATTTCATATTCCAAACATATTTCTTCAAAAGGAGATTCATATTCGATGCCCCTATTACATTGTTGAGCCAACCACAAGAACTGTTGTTTGTGTCACGATAGACCAGAATAAATGGTGAAGTTTTTAATCTTCAAACCAATCTGACACAATCAGAATTAATAAATGGTGAAGTTTTTTAATCTTCAAACCGAATGATATCTGATACAACCAGACCTAATAGACGGTGAAGTTTTTAATCTTCAAAACGAATAATATGTGACACAATCAAATTTAATAAACGATGAAGTTTTTAATCTTCAAATCGAATAATAAATTGGAGTAG